GAGCATAGTGGTCAGTCAGGTAAACACATGAGCTTAAATCTCTCATGGTTTTATTTATGTGAGAAACTTAATATATAAATAAAGGTGCAATACCAAAGACATACTAGGAAAAAAGAGAAAAAAAGTTATTGCAATCCAGTATATATACTGTGTCTAAAAATGTATTTTGATTTAGTATAACTGACTTATGTGTTTTATATGGTTTTTGGCCTATTAATCTGATTCTTCATTTGTATGTATGATAATTAACATTGTAAGGATTTATTAGATAAATAAATAAATTTGATGCTGGAAAGAAAAAGAAGTGGAGTGGAAGGAAAAAAAGAACTGAGAGGTACTCTGGACATGTACCAATTCACACAACAAAAATTATTATGTGCTGAAAACATGTAGTAATTTTTAAAAGAAAGGATTTTTTTGGCTCAACTTTCTTTTTCTTTCATTAATTTTTTTGGGGGGTATCCTTTTTACTCTTTCTCTTTCCTTCTTTTAATTTTTAAATTTTTTCTTTTATTTTGATTTCTGATTTTTTTCTTATTTGTTGCTTTTCCCTATTTTTAATCTAATACTATTAATTTCCTTTTACTTCTTTATAGGAAAATCCTTTATCTCACTTATCTGTCTTCCTTCTCATCTTCCGTTAATTAACTTTACAAACTGTACGTTCTTTATTCTGCAGTTCACCACCCCTTTTACCCTTACAGTCATGAAGATTTATCCATCTTTAGACAGTTAACTCTAAGCTGTTGCTGTTGAACACTGTTACGTACTGAAGTGTAGTTGTTTTATTTAGTAGGTATTTACTATATGTCAATATTTGGTTTCTCTTAGTGATCATACTATAACTATAGATCTCTTTCCCATGACCAAGGGTGGTACATTATAGTTCCTAGGCTATGTCAATATCAGAATTGTCTTTGAGTCTATTACTGTCGCAGATTTCATTGCTGTTGCCAAGCTGGCATAGCTGTTACTACTGTTTTTCTCTGCATGCCAAATTTGGATTGCTTTTGTGTATTAATGATACTACAGCCTCTTCTCAGAGAACTGGTTGCTGGACCCAAAATACTGCAGTCTCTCTTCCCAAATAAACTGAGATGATTGGGTTTTGGGAGCAAGATAAAGGCTTACAGTAAGCCAGAAAAGCAGACTTTAACTGACGAGGACTCCATACTAGTGACAGTCTGCCACTACAATCACCCTGCAAATCAAGCTACAAAAGCAATAAAAAACAATAGGAACATGAGGAGATAAGGCAACAAGATGTATAAAAATGCTCCCAGCTCCCTCAAAGCTGATCCATGGAGCACCAGCCATACACCAGAATTTTTTTTTTTTAAAGCCAGTCAAATTTAGCAGTGGGTCAGAATTGTTAAAGAGGGTAACACAGGAGATCAAAAGCAGACCAATGAGGTGCTCAATGAGCTCAGTGAAGATATAATTAGATAACTGACCTAATAGACAACATGATCAGCATGTTTACAAGACACTAATGAAAAGCTAGATGAGCTAATCAAAATGATACAAAACATGAAATACCAGTCTAGCAAAGAGTTAGATGTCATGAGAAGGTACCAAAGAGAAATTCAGATTAAAAATTTTGTTGGTTGTATGGACAGCGGAAGTGACTAATGTGGAGAAGGAAGTATCAGAACTATAGGCAACCATAGGGTTGTTATCAGAGACAGTTAATCAGTGATACCTTAAAGACAACAAAAAGTCATGATAAATGAATCCAATAACTGCCAGATGACCCAAAGAAAACTAATCTTTTTTTTTTTTTTAATCGGTACCGGGAATTGAACTCACGACCACGCACTTGCAAAGGCAGGCACTTATGCCGCTGAACTAAATTCCCAGCCCCCAAGAAGACAAATCTAAGATAACTGGAATTGGTGAAATTAGAAGACAGTACAAAAGGAGTTATTTTAAAAAAACCTGTTTTCAAAAAGAATAGGAAACTTAAAATATAGATAAATGATGCATATAGAACCTCAACTAGCCTCAATCAGAAAAAGAACTCCATGATGTATCATAGGCAGAATCCCAAAAATTCTATACGCAATAGAATCTTAAAAGCTGTTAGAGGAAAGCAACAATTCCTTTATAGAGATAAATCTATTAGAATTACAGAAGACTTCTCAACACAAACTTTAAAGGCCAAGAGAGCATAGATTGAAATGTTATAAGCCCTGAAAGAAAACAACTTTCAATCTAGACTGGTACATCCTACAAAACTGTCTTTCTTTCAAAATTAATGGAAAAATAAGATATTTTCATGACAAAGAACACCTTAAAGAATTCACCACCAAAGCAGCACCCTCCCCCGCAAATTCTCAAAGGTATTCAAGAAAAAGACAGTGAAGCTAACAAGGACAAAAGATCTAACAGAATAAATACTCCAGGCAGAATGAGCAGTTAAAATGAAAGTATAGATATGGAACCACTAACAGAAAACTCAGGCAATGATGGGAATAAGTCAATACCTATTGGTAATAACTCTCTCTGTGAATGGTCTCAGTTTTCCAATTGAAAGGCACAGATTGGCAGAATGGTCAAGAAATAAAGTATGCTCTATTCAAGAAACCCATTTAACTCCCCCAAAATCCACAGGTTAAAAATCAATGGATGAAAAGCAATATTCTATGCACTAGGAACCCAAAACCAAGCAGGAATAGTTATCCTATCTTCAGACAGAGTGGACTTTAAGCCAAAATTGATAGGAGAGAAAACAAAAATTTCTACATATTGGTTAAGGGAACAATTCGACAAGAAAAGAGAAGGTTATAAACATATATCCACACTAGCACCAACTTCACAAGACACTACTAGATATAAAAGATCAGATACACATCAACATAATTATAACAAGGGACCTTAGTAGTCTACTGTCACAAAGGGGCAGATAAACTAGACAAAAAAATTAACAAATAAGTTAATTTTTCAGGAGTTGAATCCAAACTTTGAAGAAATGGGCATAATTTATATCTATAAAGCATTCCAGCCTATAACAACAGAATATACATTCTTCTCAGTGGCACACGGAATTTTCCTCTAAAACAGACCATAGACTAGCCAATAAGCATGCTTAATAAGTGCAAAAGAATTGAAATTATTTCATGTGTATTATCAGATCATAGCACAGTGAAAATAGAAGTCAATGGCAAAAGAAACTACAAAAATTATACAAACACAGAAAATTACACAATATACTCTTGAATAATTGGTAGGTCATAGATAAAATCAATGAAAAATCAGACAATTCCAAGAAATAAACAATAATTCCAGGACAACATATCAGAATATATGAAACACAATGAAAATAGCCTTAAGAGGCACATTTATAGCTATGAATGCTCACATCAGATAAACATAGTAAGCTCAAATAAATAACCTAACGGTGTAACTTAAGGTTCTAGAAAAACAAGAACAATCCAAATCCAAAGCTATTACTAGGAAGAAAATTATAAAGGTCAGGGAAAAATTAATAAAATTTAAACTAAAGAAATAAAAGAACTAATGAATTGAAGAGTTGGTTCTTTTAAAGGATTTAAAACCATTAGCCAATCTTACTTTAAAAAAAGGAATAAAATCTTGAATCAATGCAATTAGAAAAGAAAAGGGTGAAATTATGGTAGACATTGCTGAAACCCAACTACGTCAAAAAGATTACTCCAATAAAATGCAGAATTCAAAAGAAATGGTTATATACCTAGATACAGATAAATTACCAAACTGAACCAAGAGACTTTTAAAACTCTGAATAACCCAATAAAAAGCAAGGAAATTGAAGGAGTAATTAAAAACCTACCAACTAGCAAAAAACTCAGGTCTCAATGGATTCTACAAAAACTTCAAGGAAGATCTAACACAAATACTCCTCAAACGCTGTAAGGAAACTGAAAAGAAGTAATCTCAAAGTCATTCCTGGAAGCTAGCATTACCCTGACTGCAAAACCAGATGGGAATCCAACCAAAAAGAAAGCTCATAGGCCAACCTGTTTAGTGAACACACAGACCCAAAACTCCTCAGCAAGACACTGGCAAAGAGAATGCAACAAATCACCAAAAAGATCCTACACTGCGACCAAGTAGGCTTCATACCAGGGATGCCAGTATGGTTCAACATGCACTAAGTAATAAACGTAATATATCACATAAGCAGAAGCAAGGACAAAACCCACATGATCATCTCCATAGATGCAGAAAGGCCTTTGACACAATCCAAGGCAGCGCTGCTGTGAGATGGTAGAACATTTAGGAGGTTGGTCATGAGGGAGGCTTTTGTCTTTGGGGTATGCTGCGAAGGGGATTGTGGAAGACTGACTGCTTCTTCTGCCTCTTCTTTTGCTCCCTTGCCATGAGATGAGTGGTCCGGCTTGGCCATTTGCTCCTGTCATGATTTATTGTCTCACCACAGGGTCAAAACAAGAGAGCCAATTTTCATGGCTCTCTTTTCATAGAACCTCCAAGATTGTGAGCCAAAATAAAACTTTTTTATTGGTAAGCTGATTATCTCAGGTATTTGTTATAGAAACAGAAAGCTAACAGGGATCTAGTAAATAAAACTGTGTCTGAGAGGAGAGAGCCCTAGTGGACACTCAGAGCAGGAAGGTGAGCAGAGGCAGGGCTGGGGACGGTGGAGGTGGGGACCCCACTAACCAGCTGTGCGACACAGGTAGATGGTTCCCCTGGGTGTGGGAATAACAGTACCGCCTGAGGGGCTCTTGAGGACACCACACGTGTGGAGCACGCACCGCCTGTCAGTAGACACCTTGCAGGGGTGCGCAGGAAGGGGAGCGGGCAGGCAAGGCGCACACGCTCAGATGCCCTCTCCTAACACTGGGCTTTCTACCACCTGGTCTACCACTGCGTCCTTCCAAGTCTCTTTCCTCCTCTTCCAAGTGGTTGTGCAGAGAGTTGGGTCTAATGTACGATGTGACATGGAAACTAGAAACACCTGATCGGCACTTTATGACTGCCTTCCACTGTCTTCTCAGGGATGAAGAAGTTTCCACACCCCGTTCTTGGTCTGACTGTAAAGAGTGGGCAGGAAGATGGCGCCACAGAGAGGGAAGGCCAGGGAGACAAACGGCCGGGCTCTGTCCCCACTCCAGCTTCTCTTTGCATGGACCCCTTCGCCTCAGCCCCAGCTCCTGCCTGCGCTGTTCCTCTCCGCCTCCACATCCTCCAAGCTCAGAGGCCCTCAGTAACCCCGCCCTACCTGGGCCCTTCCATCTGCTCCCCACTCCCCACTGCTGCCACCCACAAACAGACTTGTCACCCACTGGTTCACACTGGAGGTCCCTACAGCTGGGCAGAACTGAACTAAGGAACAGCAGCAGCAACAACAAGGAACAATAGGAACAACAACTAACTAGAAAAAAGGAAGATTTTCTTAGAGGAGTTGAGGGAGGTTAAGCGTGGGTACAGTGTTCGCTTTACAGCTATTGTATTAAATTAAATTCATTTCAAACTAAGAATAGTTTGCAAGGTCCCCGCAGTGACGTAGTATTTATTTTTCTATAGAAAGCAAGCAGTGTGAATGATTTTTTTTTAAAAGCCAGGATAAAAGAACAGTATAATATGTCAGAATACAAAGCTACAATTTTTTTTTCCTAGAAAAATGAAAGATACCAATGTATTCATGGATGTTTAAAAAAACAAACAAAACTTCTCAGGAACGTGAATGACGGTATGAAGTGCCAGCCTTTTGTTTGAGAGCTAGGTTGGCTCCGTGAGGCAAGACAGAGTTGTGTTTACACTTTTGGCTCTGAGACACCCAAGCTGGCTGGCATCAGAAGCCGTGCTGGCAACCCTGATATTTTCCAGATAAAGAGACGGTGGTCTAAGCAGTAACTGATGTTTACTGAGAGCCTCCTGTCTTCTGGATCTTTGACTTTTATTGACTCAATTGGTTCTGCACAGAGGTGTTCCTCTCCCTGCTTCAGAGGAGCAGAGGATGAGACGGAGAACAAGTCAGGGCCTTGGCTTGTGTTTCCCAGCAACCCATATGCCACGGCCGGAACTCCAGGTGGCTTCCCTCACCATGGGCTCCATGCTGGGGGACAACAGGCCATTGGGTTGGGCCTCCAGGAAGGAGTGGAGAGATGAGCCAGAGAAGGAAGACAGAGGGCTGTGCTAAGACTGTAGGTGCCCTGACTGCGCTTACTGTGACCACAGGCCACCAGGAAGCTTAGGGACAATGCTTGTGAGGCCTTTTGAGAGGACAGTAAAGCCCCAGAGAAGCACTGTGCTTGCTGATGCAAAGGCAGCTTGGGGGTCCTAGTCCATCTCCTGGTTTCCACCTCCCACTGCATCCTGCTCCCTCCAGGATCCCTGGGGGATGCTTGAGACCACATTGGCTGTCTATGGACTGCTTTTCCTGTCCATTCAGATCCACTGTCCTGCTTCTGCCTAACATTTTCTATATTTTATAATAAATATAATTGTAATAAAATAAAACAATTATAACTATATGCTATATGAGTCATTTAAAACTTTTATGAGTGTTGACATCTCTAGAACCTTCTATGTAATATTTTCAGAATGTAGTTGACCACAGATAAGTGAAACTTCAGAGAGTGAAATTAGAGTGGCTATCATCAAGTAGTTATATAATAGTGAAAGCTGGCAAGGCTACGGGGAAAAGGAACTCTTCTGCACTGATGATAATTATGTAAACTATCACAACCACTGTGGGAATCAGTATGAAGATGCCTCAAAACACTAAAACTGGAAATTTCCTTCAGCCCAGCTATTCCCCTTCTAAATATCTTCTCAAAAGACTGAGAGACATCACACTTCAGTAATACATGCATACCCATACTTGTAGCAGCACCGCTTACGAGGTAAAGTGTCCATTAACAGATAAATGCACAATGAAAATGTGGTCCGAACACAGTGCAGTACCACTCCACAGTAAAGAAGGATAAACCATTTGTAGGAAAATTGGTGAACTCTGAGGCCGTAATTTTAAGTGAAATAAATCAGACACACGGGCTTAAATATTCAATGAGTTCTCTTCCATAAGAAATGTAAAATATAAGTAATTTGAAGAACAAAAGGAAAGATAGATGATAGGCACTAGGGAGACAGATCTTTTGCAAATGGGGAGGGGACCAACAGATGGCGGGAGAGGGAGAGGAGGAGAGGAAGGGACGAAAGAAGCATGAGGGTGTGCCACGTGCATGTATCAGCTCCCTCCAAGGAATATTATGTAATGCAAACGCGCACGATGAAAATACTTTCTGCAGAATTGTAGGCGGGATGGCTTCTGTAAGGCAGTAAAGCAAGCGGAGCAAGGCTTCCATCGCCACAGAAGGTAACCAGAGCAAACACAGGCCACACGCTCAAGCAGCAGCTCTTACACTCAGCCTTGGGCCTCAGAGGCCCGTGGTGTGCAGAGCAGCCCCCGAAGGCTCAGTTCCTGGCCCCGTGTGAACACAGGCCTTCTCTGCGACCCTGGACAGATCAGCCGGACTCTCTGTCATCTGGCTGCCTTATCTTTGATGAGGCGTGGATACATCTTCATGGCAGCCAAGGAGACAAACAGGACAGTGAGTCACAGAATCACAGAGTCTCTAACACTGTGTAACACTAGGCATGGTCAGCGATGCTTGATTATTTGGAGATAGGATCAGGTACATTTATGGAGCTGATTGCTCTATTTTTTTTAATGACTTAATTTATACTCTGGCTTATTTTAGAAACTATTAAAACAAGGCAGCTAAAAATTTCCATCTTTTCTGCATAGAAGTAATTGAGTTGCATTTAGAAAATACAGAAAATAAGTTTAAAAACCCACCCATCATCTCTGCTCCTGCCCCCTCACAGCCAACATTACGTACCTTCTGGTATTTATTCTGGGGTTCTTTTCTCTGTATGCAACAGCAAGATTATCTATTTTAACCAGCAAACACAGGATTTTACCTGGTTATTATTTTCGAACTTCATCTTTTGCCTGATAAATTGTGACTATCTTATAAATGTCAACTATAAATTCGCATTTATAAATTTAGTGGCTCCCAAAATTCTAAAACCGTGTCATTCATTATAATAAAATCCCTGGTTCCTGCATTCATTTTTTGCATAATTTCTCATTGCTCTAGTATTCCTAGTAGGTTGGATCCCCTTCTGCAAAGTGTGAATCAAGATCTGAAGACAATAGTGAAAAGTTCACAGTATCTTGGTCACTCTGTTTCCTTGTCTAAGTCACAAGGACAAATAAAAACAATAAAAAGTATTTCCCAACATTCTGATTTATCTGAGATAAATACTCTAATTCTTAAGATCAAAAATGTAATTTTTTAAGAATACTGGTTTCCTTGCTTCGCTGATGCCTAAGCAGGTACTTAGTCCTATTCCTTTGTGATTTTTATGCCATTATTTCTTAGGATGACTCCCACAAAAAGCAATTCTTTCATCAAAGAGCATGCATCTTCGCAAGCTTTTGAAGATGGACTGCCAAACTGTCTCTCGGAAATGACACATCAGTTAATATTTCGTAGAGAAGAGCTGATTTCCCCACATCCTCTCTACCTGTGGGCTAGGCAGAAAGTGATTTATCTTTGTTTTATTGGTCATTCTACTGACTAATGAGCTTGAATAATTTTTTTTACACATCAGTTGGTTATTTGTATGTATTATAAGACTGTTTATATATTCTTTATATCCCCATTTGTTTTATGCTGGGCTATTTGTCTTTTTCTTATTATCTGTCTAATGCCTTTGTATTTTATTAAAAATCCTTCTGTTTGTAGTATATGTCACACTTATTTCTCAGGTGTCATTTACCTTTCATGTTTTTGTTTTTATTTTCCAAATTTAAGAGTAAAATCTTCTTACAATCTTTTCTCCAATATGTTACTTTATTGATTTTTCCTTTGGGATTATACTTAGCAAATTTTTCTTGCTACAAGTTTACATAAAATTTTACCTCTTCTTCCTTCCAGTACTTTTATGTTTCTTAAAAATATATAAACCATATGCAAGTGATTATCATGGATATTATGAGAGGGAATCTGGCTTGATTTTTTCCAAATGTTTAGACAGCTATTCCAAAATTTTGTATAGAGTAGTTCATTCTTCCCCATTTCACAGAAACATTGTCACTCTCATATCCTGATTACTTACATATACTTAAAGTGGTGTCTTATGGTTTTTATTATGTCTTTATCTCTGTTTCTGAGATAGTATCATTCTATTTATATTTTAGTTCCTGGTAAAATAAATGCCTTTATTCCCTCTTCTTTTTTGAAAAAATGGACTGGCTTCACACACTTTGCAAAATCAACTTTAAAATCATTGTCGAATTCCAAAAATAACTATTGGAATACAGACTTAACATGTATGGTTACTTTGATATGCCTAAACACATATATGGTATTAAACTTTCCAATTTTATTCTTTCTGTGTAACGAAGTGAGTTTTTAAATAGCCATTCAATAGTGTTATAGATTTCTGTGTTTAGATCCCATGTGTTCCTTTCTTCTTAATATTTTATATTTTTGTGACTATTGTAAGAATGGTCTCTTTTTTCTTCTTTAGGCTTTGTGAACAATCCCACAAATGTTGTTTAGCCCATCTGTATTCCTCTTCCTTTAGGTCATATGTTCTGGTCCTCTGGAACATTTAGGATCATCTTTTTCTTCATTAATTTTAAAAGTTAAGGTTTTGGTGGAAAGTCTTTCACAGACTCAAATTTTTAGAAATTTCTGGGTACTCGAACATTCTCTCATGACTTTTCGACACCTTAAATGTGATAAAGTCAGCCATCTTGGACTTCCTTGACCTGTGTGGACAAGTTGATGCTCATTGGCTCCTCCTTAAAGGAAGACACTGCACTTCCCTAGTCCACCTTAAAATGTTTAAGTTGAAAGTTCTCAGATGGTATAATTCACACTTCTGTGTACCCATCACAGCTGGTACAGTGACAGTGTGGAAGAAAGTGAAGTAACCAAGACTGGGACTTTATAAAGTGGAACTGGGAAATGGAGACCTCCATTTACAGCCTCCAAAGGGTCAACCACAGAATGTTCCAACAGATACAGATCAGCGGTTGAAGTCACTGTCCCTGACGTTCCACTTCTTTCATCTGGGGATAATCCAGTTAACCAACCAGACAGAGCAGGTTTATGATTCAGGATTTTTGCCCAGTCAACGAACTGCTTCTAGAAACAGACACCATGGAAATTATCTATTTAAATACATACATACATACATAACCAGACTTTTCTTACAGATACTGTTTAGGGCCTTTCTGATTTAGAGTACAAAAACTGTAACTCTTGGTTTCTCCAATAAATGCTGTTTTCTTGAACCTCTGTGTCAATCTGCTTTTTGTTTTTTTGTTTTAAGCAAAATAACTATTGGAAGATGGTGACAAAATTGGGGTTCATAAGATAAATAGCTGATCTGTATCATACATTAGTCAGCCTTTCACTACTGTGTAAAAATAGCCAAGCAAACTGATTTTAAAAGAAGCAATGCACCCTATGTCTACTTAGACTCCTCTGCATTGTGATAGCTTCTCAGGCTGTCTTTGTTTTTGATGACCTTGACAGTCTTGAGCTGTATGGTCAGTACTATGTAGTTATCGCTCCACTTGAGTTTGACAGGTGTTTTCCTCACAGTTAGACTGGGTTGTGGGATGTGAGGAGGAAGACCCCAGAGGCCAAGGGCCATTTTTGTGCCTCAGAGTAGACTGATTTCTCCCTCACCCTGGACCTAAGATCATTTTCAGATCAATGGCACACATTCGCATTATGACCTTCTACTGACGATGCTGACCTAGGTCACCTGCCTGAGAAACAAATACTTTATTTCGTTTACAATGTAGATGAGATTTTCTCTACTTCATACCCATTATTAGACAAGGTAGGCAAGGTTGGAAGATTGTTGTTAAATTCGAGAGAACCTCTGTCAAATTTCATTTGTGATCTAGGATTTTTCACAGGCTGGCTTCTGGTGCCACACATTGTGAATCTCATTTTCTCCCATATAATTCCAGGACCCAGCATTTAGGACATTTTCGTATGACAGTGTGATTTCTGTCCTACCTCATATCACAAGGGTAGATGGCTCAGCACAGTGGGTGGCAACAATATTGCTGGCAACCCCTTTGACCCTGGAGTGGCTAGTAAAGGCTCTGGAAGTACTTAAGAACCACACAAATAGATCACACTGCACTCAATCCTAACTCAAATTTCCCTTGGCTTACTTCCCCAATTACAGCAGCTACTCCAGTGCTACACAGCTCAAAAAGAAGTGTGACACAGTCATTTGGAGTGGAAGTACACAACATCTTAACAAACAGCAGCTCAAAGTATTCTACTTTTGCAAGTTTTATAAACACATGTGTACACAATGTGGGAGCCCTCCCTAGTCCTGGAAGAGTCCTATTATAGTGAGGTGTCCAGGAGAGTCATCATCTTTCTGGCTCTAACCATG